CTATAGATTTGGCCATCTTCCCTCTCTCACCCCTCCCTGTCCCTCAGCTGCCTTTTTCACAACTCGTCTGTGCCTCCATCACAAGGTCATCTGGGAAAATTAAAAGTGGAATGGAAATCCACCTAGACCCTTTCTTTTAGGACAAGTCTAGTGAACGCTAAACGGCAAAGGGGTTGAGGCTTTTGGCTAAACATGAAGAGAAGATCAGATTGTCCATGCCTTTCCTCTGCTGGGTGGGATGCTAGGGGAAATATTTCACGTGAACTAGCAGAGAGAGCTGGATTCAAAGCCTGCTTCTGACCCTTAGTTTCTCCTAATATAGAACAGAAGTGGTTACTCAGTACATTTCAATTTCTGCCCTTCCAGGAGAACTGGTGTTGGCTTAGGTCCTTTCCTGGCCTCATTCCTGCCCTCCTAAGATTCAGATTCTACAGAACAACATAGTTCCCTTCCATTTCCCCTTTCCAGATCATTGTAACCCAAGCTCTCAGAGTTTGACAACACCTCGGTAGTAAATCATGAGTGCTAATAGCTACTAGGTTGTTAAGTGAAATCTAAAAGAAGGGCTGGTGACGTTAAAAGAATATCTATAGATAATTTAACAGATATTAAAAATTCCAATCCTGTTCTCCACCTCACTCCCAGCATCATTAACTTCTACTCCTACCTAACCGAAAGAAACAAATATGATCCAGATCTTCAACAGAAGCCTCTAGGACGTTTTCAGTTAAGGGTATACGGTCCCTCATAAGCTAACCCAGTGAGTGCCCTTGATTCCTTTCTCTCATGACTCCTGAAAGATGTGCCTGCTTATACCCTCCTAATATTCTGCCAGCATCTTCACCCTTCTATTTATCTGCCTTATACACATGCGAGTCTTGAGATGAAGCTGAGGAATTTGGGCTGATTTAGCTGCCTCCTCCTTCAATGTCTTTCAAGAGTGCTCTTTACCTTTACTCCTTTCCCTTGCACACTTCCTTTCCTCCAGCCCTAGGAAATCAGGTCCTCTTACCTAAAAAAGATTCCAATAACCTGCTTCACGACAAATCCAACTTTATATTTCTTAAAATATACTTATATTCCTTGAAACATAAATTGGATGTGGACTATCTTCCCCCCTCCCTTGCCTTCCAGAAATATGACACAATCCTGGTCCTCCTCCAATCTCTAGCTATCTGTTGGGCACTTCTACCCAATGATTGCAGGCATTGTCCAGGGTTCCACCTGGCTTTTCTCTCCATACTCCACAGTTTAACTATTAACTTCTACATAGACACTCTCAAACTCTATCCAGACTCAGCTCTTAACCTACATTTCAGTCTCCCATCTCCAACTAGTAAGTAAGCATTTGTTTTTAGACATCTCACTATATGGAACTTCTCCTCAAAAATGAGTTTTCCTATTAACCTTTCTATTTCTGTCAAGGAGATTTCTCTTTCTTTTTTCCCCCCAGTAAATGAATATGGTTAAATTGTCCACCCAGCAGAATCCATTTATTCTCGGTTGTATAGATTCTTTCCTGCACATATCACAATTGGGACTAGGTAGCTATGCAAATGAGACAGAGGGGTAGAACTCCACATCTCTTGCCAGAATTATTTCAATAGTTTGTTGCTTCTGGACTACCCCCTTTTCAAACCATACCATACACCCATGGATCATTTTTCTAACAGTTTTATCAAGTTATTGCCCTAATTATATATCTGTAGGCCTGTAAGATCAGATCCAAATGATTGACTTAGCCCACTAGGGTCCTAAAACCTGTGATATAGCTTTCCTTCCTGTTACTCCCTACCCTAGGAAGCCTGATCTGGACCAGTGCCCCAAATATCATCTACACTATACCCCATCCCCACCTGGCCTCTGCTCGGGCTGTACTTTTCCTTTCTAACCACTCATGTACATCCACATCTAGCTCATTCTAATCTTCTGCCATGATGTCTTTCCTCAACTATTTAGACATCCTGGATCATTGACTTCACCAAATTCTCACAGTACTCATTGTAACATTCGGGCACACCTTATTACGTCTATCTTACTAAAGAAACAGAAGATAATCCTTGAGGGTTGCAACCATGCCATATTCAGAATCACATACTTAAAAAGTTCAGGTTGCCTCAGAAGCCCTCCTTCAACCCTTGTCTAGTGCTTATTTTCCTTCTATACAACACCCACAGCAAACAGTGTGCCAGGTTTTACTCTAGGGACAGAGAACTTACTGACTTTTTCTTTCTTTTCTTTTTTTTTTAAATATCCTCATTCTCCAGATCACAAAGGAATTTATGTCAGACTAGGGCTTAAACCTATAGACAACAGGTAGCTAGAGGTTTTAAAGCAGTAATATAACTTGTCAGGTTTGATTTTTTTTAAGATGATCATTTTGATGATTATGTTGAAGACAGGCTTGGAAGGAAAAGAAATGGAACAGTCAGGAGTTGGTGGAAAGACACCAGATGAGAGATAACAGGGGTCTGAAAAAAAGGCAATGGGGAAGGACAGGAGAAACCAGATTCAAAAGTCATATCTAAGACAGACTAGGATCTGGTGACCAACTTATGGAAGGGATCCAGTGTGATGACTGCCACAGAGCGGAGAGCTCCCAGGGTGGTGCCAACGGTGCCAACAATGCCAAGGGCTGCCTTACCCAGGAATAAACTGCACTGAGGCCATAGCTGCAGACAGTCTGTCTCTCCCAAGTCTCTTTTCTTTCCACCATTTTCAACCCACAGCCTTCTGTCCAGATCATCAAGAGTCAAACTATAGTGTAGGTCACCACTATTATTCAAGTTACCACTGTGGCTTCCTAGTCTAGTAATTTTTTTCTTCCCTTTTCAAAGGACTAGACTACCTAAGCTCATTGTTATTCAAGTATGGTATTTGCAACTTCAGTACCACCTGAGAGCTTGCTAAATGCAAATTCTTGGGTCCCACCCTACACCTACAGAGTCAGAATCTCTCTGGTTAGGAGTCCATAATCTGTGTTTTAATTAACCTCCAGATGATTTTTAATGCAAGCTAAAGTTTGAGAAGCACTTATCTAGCTAGCCTCTCCATATCAGAGCTTTTAATCCTATATCCATTTTCCACCATGAATGGAAACTCTACTTCAGGTACACTTTCAAGACTAAAATGTAAATTTACAAATGTGCCTCAGTAAGAAAAATTTGGGAAGCGCTCATTATTCTAGGGACATCACATATACTTGGATGAATCACTTAAGTAGCAGCTTTTAAAGATGCAACTCCAAGTCATTCTCAAAAATAATTATAATCAAAAGTCAGATACCAATTTTCAGATGAGTCCCTTAGAGATTTTGCCCCAAAATAAAGAAAATTAAGGACGTAACGAAACACCCAGAGGTTTGCTCACCCATCCCTTACAAGCACCTTCTTAACATAAGGTGAAGTGGTAGCTATTTTATGAGATAGATGACAAACCCCAACCCCACTTCTTCCTAAGGCCAATGTCAGGAAGCACAAATAGATTAATCCATCCTTTAAAATGGAGTTTGGGCCTTCCCCTAACAGTCTGTGATACCTGTCTTGCCCTAGCAATGAAAACAACAATCTGGTAATATAGTCAAACTCTCCCCTGTTAGACATATACTTTCTGGATGAGCAATGTAATGGATACTGCTCAGGTTCATTCATTCAATGAGCTGGAGCCTACTATATGCTAAGCACTATGATGGCAATGAGCAAGACAGAGCAAGTCAGGTCTTGGTGAGCTCACATTAAGTAAATAATTCAAATTACACTTGAGATAAGCACTGATAAAAACCATGGGTGCTAACACAGTCTGTTATAGCAAAGCAACCTGACACAATTTGGACTCGTGTAACTCCATCAGGCCTGCAAATCAGAATCACCCGGGACAGCTTCTAACCATACCAAAGCCCAAGCCCCATCCCACAAACAAATCGAAACTCTGTGAACCCTGGCCACTGGTTTTACAGGTCATTTGTTCCCCAGGTAATTCTAACACGCAGCCAAGGTAAAGAACCATGGGTCTTGGGCATCATGTGTTGGAAGCACAGAGGTCAATAACACAGTGCCTGCCCTCTAAGAGCTGACCATCTATAGCTATGTGTCACTTAACAATGAGGATCCATTCTGAGAAATGCCTTGTTAGGCGATTTCAATGTACAAACCTCATAGAGTGTACTTACACAAATCTAGATGGTATAACCTACTATCCACCTAAGCTATATACTAACATTATGAGACCACCATGGACCAAAATGTCATTAGGTGGCACATGACGGTAGTGGAAGAGACTCAAGTAAGTAGAGGTATCAGGAGAATGCTCTAGGCAGTACGGAGCAAAGAAACCTCAGATACAGGATAGTGCTGCTCTGGGTACAAGGATGAGGAAGTGATCTCAGAGGGCTATATAAGGTGCTTTTACCTATGTCAGCAAGGTTTGGTTTCTAAAGATGGGTACTTTATACCTTATTATGTCTTAAATATTGTAGGGTTTTTTATTTTTGTTTTGTAAGGAAGATTGGCCCTGTGCTAACACCTGTTGTCAATCTTCCTCTTTTTGCTTAAGGAATATTGTCACTGAGCTAACATCTGTGCCAATCTTCCTCTATTTTATGTGGGATGCTGCCAAAGCGTGGCTTGACGAGCAGTGTCAGGTCTGCACCCATGATCTGAACCTGTGAACCCCAGGCTGCCAAAGCAGAGCACGTAAACTTAAACAGTACGCCACCAGGCCAGCCCCTAGGGTGTTGTTTTTTTTTTTAAGTAAAATAAAAACTGCCTTTAGTCAGCGACGGCATCATAGAAGTTATTTAAGGTGAGTTTTGAAGCTTGATTAGGAAGGAGTTTTCTGAGGAAGTGATCTTGAAGATGTAATCTGAAATATGAATAAGAGTTACGAGGAAAAGTGTATTAGGCAAAGGGAGGAGTGTGTGCAAAGGTCTGGAAGCAGAAAAAAGTATGGGGCCTTATAGAAATCAAGAGAAAGCTGAGAGTAAAAAAGGACAAAGTAGAAGTTCTCAAAGTGCCATCCCTGGTCAGGAAGCTTCGAGTTACTTGCTGGAAATGTAGATTCTCAGGCCTCACTTCAGACCTACTGAATCAGAACGAGAAGTAGAAGGGAACAGCCTAGGTAATATTAAGGATTATGAAAAATAATTGAGATGTTTTAAATAGAGGGATAACACAATCAGGATAATAGTAGCTAAATGGTTTGGCATTAATAGCTGAACAGAAACTTCTCAAAATCTAATTTTTGCAATAATCAGGATTAGAAACCATACTGTCTTTAAATCAAGGGTCACAATCATAATGCCTTTAGGACTAAGCGGGTAAGGTGAATGGGTGAAAAGGGTAATGTGGAAAACTGGAGTGGCTGCCCTCCAGTCAGCCTAGCATCTGCTCTGGAGCCAAACACAAATAGGTGCCCCATAAACATCTGTTGAGTGAAAAGAATATACTGGCAAACCTAGGGATCCCTTAACACAGCTGCTTAAGAAAAGGAGAGGGCCCCTTGTAGGGAATCCCGACTTTTCCTTTCTTCAGCTCTGACAGTTTCCCAGCCTTGGCTAGGGAAATCTGGCATCAAACCAAAATTTCAAAGAAAAACCACCTTTTGTTTCTTGGTCCAAAAAGGAGAGGGATAAAAAGCAATTCAACAAACAAGATGCCAACAACCCAGCCAGCTCACCTCCTTCACGGAGCTTCTACCACAAAGCAAATGACCCATTTGGATGAATCGATAGTAGAAGCTTGAACTTGGGAATGCTCCTTGTGATAGGCTGCCCAGGAACAACCCTCCCCTGGGCTCAAGAAGCTGCCTGCACCTTCACTTCAGTGGGTCAGATAAGAAGCTCTTGGATTCAACAGGACAAGGCTCTCAACCCTGAGAAGACATGCAACGTGTCTGTATGCTAGGCTTCTCAGGACTAAAAATACCAAATACAGCTCTGCCAAAAGGTCACTAGGACCAAGTAGAAACTTTTCAAGGGGGAGCAACTTACAGTACTGGCAGAAATCCACTGAGCTGGGTTCTTGCCACAAAAGTACCTTACTCAAATGTAGTCATAGATGATGATGGAGTGGTAACACATTTCTGATTGAATCGGGTTAGAAAGCACAAACCAGTGAAGTTTAAGATGCAGAAAAGGACTGCAACAGGCATTAATGAGAAGGGAACAAAAAGGGATTGCCTTATTCAGACACTTCCTCCCCTAATTCCTCAGGTGAGAAAGTCAACAGTCTCAGAAGGCCCATCTGATAGTGGCTATTCACCCTGGCCTGGCCTGAACAACAGGTGTTGAAGGACTCTGCAGACACTGCCCTACTGAGTATGGTTCAGACATCTTCAGGGGTAGTCGCGGGAGGCTTCATGATGAAAAGAGTTCTTGCCTCCTACCTATTCCCTTAAAGATCCAGAAACCATTTTCTCCCAAGTCAGAATAACTGAAGAGACAGGCTTCAAATCCAAGTAGAATCAAAATTTCGAGACTCTTATCTGGGCATGCGTGGCTAATTCATTTCCTAACTAAGAAGGATTTGTAATGGAGAGTTTGCTACTTCCTGTCTTACTAGATTCCAGAGCAGCCCATTTTATTCCTGTGCCTAACAGATTAACTTCCAGAACCTGAGTGATTGCCCACATGGAGTAGTGGAGCTAAGACTAGGGGTAAACGTTTCCAGAACCTGCCTGCTGTTAAATAGTTGGTGCTAACTGCCTTTCAGGTATCAAGTTCAGTCCCTTTGCCCTCTGAGATGATGATGATAATGGCTGACGTTTATGGAGTGCCTACAATGCATCAGCACTCTATATTGTCCTATTTAATGTTGATAACCACCCCAAAAAGTGAGTACTTTTAAGTTCATTCAACAGATGTGAAAACTAAGGCACAGAGAAGTTAAGTGACTTGCCTAAGCTACAGGGTTAGTGGCAGAGTCAAAACGCAGACGCAAGAACTCTGGCTCCAGAGCCCAAGTTCAATCAGTAGACTATGCAGCCTTCCTCAGGATACAGACAGTCCATTCCACAAACACTAATCAAGCATCTGGGCACCAACCACTCTACTAGACAAAAGCACCTATTCATGCAAAACAACAACCAGAAAAACTGCTTTTACTCTGCCTGTGCTCAATGTGATAATCCACGCTGAATGCACCCCAGATTCTACCTACTAGCTAAATACTAAAAATTAAGCCCTCAAAAGTAAGGTAAAAAAATTGAGACTTCTCTCAACTTTGATGGACAGCAGATAGTGTTTCCAATAGCTCCATCTTCTCTATCCCTCACCCAGGTCTATGCCTAAGAGCTCAAGATTTCAAACAAAAACAAAAACAAAAACAAAAACCTCTAAACAGAGCTCACAAACCTTTTCCCTGGGCAGGTAGCTAAAAGAGGCATTCTACAAGCTCGGCCCATAAATTCCTATTCAGAATTCTGAACCTGAATTCAAGGAATAGCTCATTTAGCGCAATACCACCAAAACATCCAATCAGAAACCAGTTTTCTTTGCTTCTTTTCTGTCCCCATCACCTTTTAGAGGGTAGCAGGAATACTCACAGGCAAGCTTGAGGGTCTTGACTGAAGACTCAGGTTCATATCTTCTTGCCCTCCCTTACTGGAGGTCATTGAGGCGGCTGAGGATGCCTGAGACCCAAATGAATCTTGAGATAACTCCTAAAAACAAGAAAAACAAAAGCTGTGAAGGCCTAGTATTAATAAGCCAGGCAAGCTTGCTTCATGGTGAAAGGGCCATGGGACTCTCTCACACAGAGGAAGTTATGTGTCCAAGTGTGCACAATATTATCTGAAAGCAGAAAAATACAAGCTGTGGCTCTAAGACAAGAATGTCAACAGTGGATATAAGACTCTTCCCAATGGCACTGTTGACCATTTACTGCCACCCACAGAGAGCTATTCCTTGGGGTTAAATTCTAAAATCTGGCTAACTACAAGGTGTACCTACCAAGGAATGAGACCAATTATTTAAAAAACAAGAAAAACTCATGCTAGAACTTTCACATTAGAATGAATACTGCTTCCTTCAAAGACATTGTCTTAGGATGAGATATTTATTCCAACAATGCTACCAATGCACAAAATCTTTAGTGGACCTATCATCACTCAGTCATTTCTTCTCTTTTGGTTCTTTTAAGAACAAAGCCCAAATTGTTATTTTTCGGCTTCATCATCCACCTTGTTCATAGACATGGATACAAATGAATTTTAGCTATTTTCCCCTCAAAAATAAAAAGACTTGCCACCACTGAGAACAGTCTAGAGAATGTGATGTCAGCGCTGATGGCAATTTCAAATGAAGGAGTCCAAAATATTTTGGCAGTTGGAACGAATATACAGTATAGCCTCCCAAAGTGACTGTTTTTAAGGAGACCAAACTCACTTGGATGCTTAAGTTCTGAATGCTAATTAAAAAAAAAAAATCAGTCCCATTACGTTTAATGTCTTATCTGTCCATGCAACTTTCCATTGCCCTATTTCTTCATCAGTAAGTAGAGCTACAGGTTTTTATGCAGTTAAGAAGGTTATGCCTGTATTAGTTCAATCAATCCAGTTAGCATGTTTATCCAGAGTTTAACTGGTTTTTAAGTGCACGTTAGAGAACCAATTTGTATGGCAAAGTTCTCATGACACCAACCCGTAAGCTGCCTTTAGTCACATACAGGGAAGGGCAGGAGGCAAGGGCATCTTACCTGCGGTGGAGGGAAGCGCTGCTGGGAATAGGCAGTTTGCTGTGACTGCTGAGATTGGGGCTGAGGGTACGCAGCCTGCTGGGAGAGCGTCGAGGATGCTGGCTGCTGAGGTTGCTGCTGCTGGTAGGGAGACTGTGCCTGCGGCTGTGAGTAGGGGGGCTGACTCTGGGGGTGCTGCTGGGTCGTGGACTGCTGGGAGGGGTATGGAGTCGGGGACTGCTGATGTGGAGGCTGGGATGGCTGCTGGGAATATGGAGGCTGAGAGGACTGGAGCTGTGGTGGCTGAGACTGTGGCTGCTGCTGATATGAAGGTTGGGCATGAGGGGTCTGGGATGGTGGTTGCTGGGAGTAGGGTGGCTGCTGCTGCTGGGGATGAGGACTTTGCTGGTTGTAATATGGAGTCTGGCCCTGCTGACCATACCCACTGGGGCCTTGTTGTCCATAAGGAGGAATCTGTAGGAAAGGAAAGAACACTTTTAGCTGACTTTTCCAGATGAAGAAAGGTGAGGTATTCTGTCAGAAGCTATGCCCTGAGGATGAGTATAGAAAGCAGGCAAGCCAAGCCTCGCTCCGAGAAGGCCCAGGGTTTTCTACCATCCCTGTCTAAACTGAGCCAGGAAGGATGGCCAAGTTGGGTTACTAGTTGGTTTGTTTACAAGTGGACTGAATTCATCCACAGAAAATTTACACTATTTAACATTTGGGCAACTTAGAAGAGTTCAAGAGAGGCTGTTTTCACCAATGAGCCTACTCTTTTTATCACAGCCTAGACTGTTTTTACAAGCGCTAAGAATCTGTATCCTAGCCACAATGAATAGTCAACAGCAGCCTGGCTCAACCGACTGAAAACCCAGGGTTTAGTAATCCAGACAGCATGCAAATCACTAAGCTACTCTAGCTCTCGTTTTCATTTAGTCTTCATTCAAAAAACATTTGAGAGCCTAGTTGCTTGCTTGTACTAGGTACTATTCTAGGTACTGGGGATACATTTGATAGGTAGGCAAAAAATAAAATAACAGTAATATCCACCCCATCTCTCCCCCATTTTCTTCTTGAAAAAAAAAAATGACAGTATTCCATTTTCTACATTAAGGGCATACTCTGCTTCAAAGTCTTAGAAGTAAAGTTAAGTTTTATATTCTGTCCTTTACCATTTTCAGTATGAATATCACTCAAATACAAATGGTAGAAAATGCTGTCATAACAAAAATGACAATAAAAAGATAATGGTGCAGATGGCCAGACAAAAGGAAATGAGGGAAATTTTAACATTTGTAACAGCACTGTTAGTATCTTTACCATTCAATCTTCCCCTTTTCTTCTACTCCAAGTCCTTCCTAAGCATTTGTTTTGAACCAGACAGCTATATGCTGAGGGCCTTAAGAAACGTGAAGGGCCTCTTCCATCCCCAGGGCACATGGTGTGAGTAGTTTTCCTTGGTAGCAGGGGATAGGTGCTCAGCCACTGCCTTTCTTTCTTCCCACTTCCTTCAGAGATCACCGCTCAGTGGATACAAGTAGGCCAGCCAGGTCAAAGAAGAAGACAGATATGTACATGGGATGGTACCCAAAACCTTGGCCTTGTAAGTAGCAAACTCTAACTGAGCCATTGGCCTACGCTCCTTTCAAGAGGTTTGGAAGCCAACGACACTTTGATTCTATAGCTCAAGACCAGATCCTGGACAGCAACAAGGGTTAAGGTAATTGGAGTCACCATCTACCTGCTGTGCATAAGAGAGGCCGCCCATGGTACTCTGCGCCCGGCCCTGCATGGTCATCGGGTACCGTTGCGGGGTCTGGGACCCGTATGGCTGCCCTGGGTACCCATGTCCTTGCTGTGGTCCTGACGGAGGTCCCTGTTGTTGCGAATATGGGTTAGTCCCGCCATATGGCTGAGGTCTCATCTTGCCCATCTGATCCATTGGACTGGATGGCTACAAAATAAAGAGCATTTCATTAACCTGCAGCTTTGATGGCCTCTGGCCAATATGAACACAAACCCAAGTATACAGGTCTGTATGCCACTTAGGAAAACAGCTACTATGAAAAAGTAATGGTAAAGACCCAGTAACTCTTGGGCAGGTCATTTAACCTTCCTAAGAACCTTGATTTTGGCCTATGTAAAATGAAAACACCACCAGTTTGTAAAAGCATCTCGTAAGCTATATACTACTTTCTAAGTATGGTACTACTGGAGATCCAAAAGACAGGCCAGGTGTGGAGCAATGAATATATGTACTCCATGGTGTAGAAAACCAGAAAAAGCCTTTTCAGTTTGGGAGAGGATGGTGCTGCTGTACTCTGCCATGATCTTCAATAACACCAAAACTTGGTTTCAATGCTTCATATACTTGGTTGGGAATTCAAATACACAAGCATCTAGATGTTTCTATTCTTTAAATAGTGGAATCTTTTTTACTTGCACATCTGTAGCCCATTTGCACTATGGCACAAGTACTTAAAATTTATGCTTTCTTCCAAATGGGTAACATGGCTAAGTTACAGTTGTTGAGGGAACCGTGACTCTGAATTTAGAGCCTTGTGCATCTCAACTAAAAAGTTCATATCCTTTAACATTCAAGAGTTTGAGGGTGTAAGGAGGATAGAACTTTTGTCTCTTTAAAGCACAAGATATAGAGGTGCAGCAGAGCACCAATAGTAAAAGCTCAAAGTTCAATTCACAGGTATTTGGCTATAAACATAGCTTTCTTTCAGCTTTGTGGGGCAACAGGTTCAATCAGCTCATTCACTTTTTGACATAATTTACCCTATTGCAACTACGTAAGACAGAGCCTCAGCACACTTTCCCCTGCCAGACATGCCTACCTACATCTATTGATGGTGTGGAAGGGAGTGGGGAGTTTCCCTAAGGACCTTAAAGAGACAGATACACTGAAGTTGGAGAGTAGGCCTGGACCTGATATAAAACTTGAAAACTGGATCTTAATTTGAGGGTGGAAAGTAGAAATCAATACTCTGGGCCTGAACATTATTAACTTTCAAATTAAGGAGTTTTCAGTGGTTCTCAAAGTTTAGCATGTACCAAAATCACCGGAGGGCTTGCTAAAAAACAGACTGCTGGGACCCATTCCCTAGATTCTTCGATGCTGTAGGTTCAGGGTCGGGACTAGGATATGCATTTGTAACAGTTCCCAGGTGATACAGATGCTGCTGGTCCAGCGACCACACTTTAAGAACCACTGGTCTAGATTACACGTAGAGTCCCTTCTACTTCTGTCATTCTATAATTAATAAATTACTCTATAATTTAAGATATATAAGACCTTAAAAAACAACAACAAAAACCCCTCCAAAATAAAGGGGAGGAAGTGTTCAAACAATTCGTTCTCTGTACATGTCTTTTTCTTTTGGCAGAGTACTACCCTAAGTGTTTTATAATAGGGGAAGTCAAGCTGTCATGAGGAAAATGGATAAGACAAAAAGCCACAGAGACTATTCTTCCAAATATCAAGAGGAAAAAAGCAGAAGCAAAGTTCTTTCTTAGGCTACAGCTGAAATCTCAGCTAAAAAGGTACCACTGATGATGGGAGCCTCCTCCAACTTTCTAAACTACAGAGAATCATAGTAAAATCGTATCCCAAATCACGACTACATGTCAATATTATTAAAGCACTGTTTCCAACAATCATAACTGAACAATTTTTGCCCAAGTCCTGCCTCTGTATTAGAAGCTGCAATAATGTTCCCAATCGTAATTTTGGAGCTACATGGATTCTCCTGGGACTGTTTAGGAAGTTCAAATTTAACAAAGAGTGGACCAGTGAGTAATAAATAGCATGTGGTCTTCCCCAGATACACCTGGCAATGGAACCAAAACATCACCATTCTCTCCCATAAAGAGCTCGGGGACTTACACAGGGACATATAATGATGAGATCCTCATCTCATCCTAGACTGCAGTGACTGTCCATGTGGCCCCCAGGTGAAGAAAGACTTTTGCTGAACAGAGAGACCAGGCCACTCTTGTGTTTCTATCAGTTCAGGTCTCACCACAACACATGGGAGGTAGTCATCACTTACCATGGTTACTACGGAGCTTCTAGAGCAATAGCTATTAACCAGGGCTACAGATTGGAATTTCCTGTAAAGCTTCACAAATGCCTGGGCCTCTCCCTAGAGACACAAGTTAGTGTGTCTTGAAGGGCTCTCCCCCGCCCCCCACCCCCATTAAGATCCTTGGATGATTCTAATGTATACTACTAGCTGACAACCAGTGATCTAGAGAAACACTGCCCAATAAAATTTTTGGTGACGTGTTACTATCAAGTATTTGAAATATGGCTAGTGCGACTGGGGAATGGAATTATTTTTATTTACTTTTAATTAAATTCAAATAACCACATGTGGCTAGTGGCTATCACATTGAACTGCACAGTTCTAGAGCAATGCTTACAAATCATTTTCATCTTTCCCTACTCCACAATACCTCCAAACTTCCTACCTACTATATTCTGTACAGTATTGCACAGAAAGAGCAAAGAGCGGAGTCAATTGATAGTCTTGGGTTCAAATCCTAACTCTGTCACTGTCTGACCTTGAACACATCAGTTCTTTGGTTCTTCATCTAAAATGCACATAACACACTTCACATAGTTGCCAGTATTTAAATGTCCAATAAATAGCGGCCATTATCAATAATGATAAATAGTGATTCTGCCTGGCTCTAAAGCCCTCCACAGTGTGCTCCAGTTGTACACATTTTTCAGTCTCATGCCAAAGTTTACCACACACGGCACATACCCAGCTCTATGCAATGGTACCCTGCCCTGCACTCCTGTCCACAATGGCTTCCACTAGTAGAAACCCAACCCTTCAACATGAAGTCACTTCCCACTTCTTCAGCACACTCTGATCTCTCACATTTCTAAATGTCCTACTGTAAATTTAGTTTGGATCATAAATTTTAGCACTTAGTTATCCAGCTGACTGCAACTCTCAAGACTTAGTTCTGGGAAGGCAGAAATCAGGTGTTTTATCTTCAAAGTCGCCCCAAAGACCCCAAGTGCAAACTGGTGCTCAGTAACTTCAATGTACCAGGCTGCCCTACTGCAAGAAGTGGGTAGGGATACTATGACGAGAAAGTCCAGATCAAACTATGTAGCCACAGGGCCAGGGGCACACTCTAGACCCTAAATCAGGTTATGAGTTTGAGGGCAGAAAAAAATGTGGACTGAACTGAAAGAGAAGAGGGGAGGGTAGAAAAACAGCCAAGGGAGAAGAAACACACTTTTGAGAAGAAACTTCTGTGCCCTCATATACCAGAGGTCTTCAAACTGCGCAGGCATCCCCAAACAACTGCTTAAAAACAAAAGGCTAAAGGCAAGTTACCTTTTCTTCTCTCATCAAGGGGCCTGGACTCCCAACAGAGGACAGCAACTTACACTGAGGCTAGTCAATAAAAGGTTCAAAGACTCTTCCACCAACTTTAGGAAATCTTTGCAGACCAAAAATAAATGCAAGTCACAGAAATTCTTATTCTAAAAAGAAAATTAAGACATTTCCCTTTCTTGGACATCAGATTTCTGATCCCCTCCCTGCACCAGAGTTATAATCAACAAAATATGCAGTTTAGCAAACTAAAATACATTCAATTCAAACAGATTACTCTGCTTGCATGTCAAAGTTAAACATCTGCTCATATCAGAAGGGAGGTGGGTAAGGACCTAACTCACACTTCTGACATTTAAAGCCATTGTGAAAGATTTGTGATTTGCAGTTATAGATGAAATGTCATCTTCCAATCTCTCGTAACAGAGAAGGGGCCTTAAATCTTCACTAACCAGTTTTATTGGAAAGTAGTAATTTCAGACCAGAAAAATTCCTACTACATGCAAGATAGAAAAGCCAGTATCAGTAGTCTGCAGGAACCAAGGAAGAAGCAGAGGATGGGAAACGCCAAACCCTGGCTGCAAAAAGCCAGAGATTCCACTCTGGGCAAGACGAAGAGGAAATCCTTTCAATGGGAAACCACATGAGTAGATTACTGTGATTACACTTCAAAAGCAAAGGCTCTGCTACAAAGACACATAATTGAGAGGAAAATGCTGCCCCCTTGATCAGGGAAGTCGGGTCCCCTGGTATATACTCTCCTGCATTCATAAAAAATAAAAATAAAAAAGAGGAAAAGAGCCATAAGAAAACCCGCATCTCCATCTACCACTTGTCTCTTTCCAGATCACTGGCCATGTTACCAACTGCCTGCCAAATGAAATGCATCAAAAGATGTAGTTTCGGGGCATCAAAGGCAAGGATGCCTAGCAGGCTGGTCCCTCTGAACACAGTCATGCATCGCTTAACGACAGACTAACCGCTTGCATAAAGAGTTCCCCTGCTCCAAACAAATGGAATTACGAGCCCCTTCAGACCAGTGGCTAATGGAATCACTCACAACTTCTTATTGCACCATGGAAAGCCATAACAACCCTCAGGGGTTGCTGAGATATAACAGACTGGAATTTAAATTCTCCAATTTCTGACCAAAACTGATGGAGAAGAGAGCAGAGAAGATGGAGTCAGGGACTCAAACTTCAAAGCAGAAAGACACTGTTCACCAAAATATACCACACCACATGACAATGGCACCAGGAAAGAGAAACTTAATTTTCCTGAAATAAAAGTCCAATTGAGGAAAGCTTCAGGCGTCAGTCCCGATCCAAAGATGCAGAAAGTTTGTGATCAAGTAGCAACCCTAAGGAGCCAGATTTGGTACCCAAGGACTGGCAAGAACACAACAGAGAGGGATGGGCTGGGGCTGCCAAAAAGGTGTCCATCAGAAAGCAGAAGTCTTGACTACCACTTGCTCTGTCACCCTAAGTGCCAACTAGTTGGGGCCAGTATAAACCAAGAGCCATAACCTTGGATTCTGGACATTTAAATATTATTTCTTACTCCTTGTGCTTTCAATTTATTCCTGGCCAGATTTGTTGTATGACTTTTAATAATAACAATAAAAAAAGCATCCCTGGCTCTTTAACCGAAAGAACCCCCTAATTGATTCCCACAGTAATTAACCTGCATTTTACCTCAGAGAGCGGTAGTTAAGGAAGTCGGCACTGCTATTTATAACTCATCTCAAATTGAGGGCAGACTGCCTAAAATCTAACACATCCCAGCTGTACTCCTGTTTGAACTGGGGCCAAGGGAATTTTTTAAAGCAATCTTGGCACCGAATGAATGACACCAACAGTATGAGAGCGCGAGCGGTTGTGTTGTGGTGACGTAGCAGTGGAGGTGGAATGGGAGGGGGCCAGTGTACTGTGATCCCTCTCGTGCACGCCTGCTGCTTGCTAAGTCCCAGTACAGTAAGCTGGGAACCGCCCACTGAGAGCCAAACACAGGAAAAGGCTTTTCCTGTGGAACGCCTTGAAGTGAGAAACACATGGCTAATCTGCATAAACGCGAAGCCACACCGCCCCTGCCAGGAAGGTTAGTGCTCGTAATCTCTGGCCATGAAGCTGGCTGCCTGGGAGGACTTGGACTGGCGCCTGATAACCCAGAAAGAGTCAAGAGAACAGATGGGTAAGGACCCCAGCAGAAAACAGCCCCAGGTCACGTGACTCGCCACATGGCCCCGCCAGCACAAACTATTGTCTGGCTGCAGAGCTCCCATACAAAGGCACCCGGCCCCAGCTTCCTGTGATTACAGGGACAGGCGGCAGCTGTTGATCCAGTTCCCGTACTGGACCCTCCCCTGTTGAAAAGCATTCCAGGCAGGGACAAATATAAAAGCTAAGGCCTCTCCCAACCAACGAGCTTTCAGTTTCCTGCAAGTTCCACGTGGCTCCACTCAGATCTTAGGATGGAAGGAGTAGCTGTCCATAAAAAGAACCACCCTTTGTACCCTAGTTCACATGAGTTGACCAGTGTAAGACATTCTCATTGTGTCCCCTTCTCCAGCCACACAGACATCTGTATCCAGTGCTTTTTTCACTTTTCCCGTATTTCATGGCTTTGAAGGCTGGTCAAGGACCCCTACCCCAACTGAGGAGAAACTGTCCAGAAACCTGCTTATTTAGTTCTATCCCCAGACCGTGCCTCCTAAAATCCTCCTGAGGAGACTCCCTTCATTTTGTTTAGCATTTAAACAGTCATGTTTCCCCACTGTTTATGTGACCTAGGACAGGAAGAAGTAAGAGATTCCTAACCCCCTATTTGGCCTCACCAGACACCATTCAAGATTTCCTGAAGCTAAACTGATGATAGGGAAATAAAAATCTCTCATCAGATATACATAAAAACACCTGACCCAGAAAATCAAACAGCCTATGATTCTTTTTTTTTTTTTTTTTTTAAGATTTTACTTTTTCCTTTTTCTCCCCCAAAGCCCCCTGGTACATGGCTGTATATTTTTAGTTATGGGTCCTTCTAGTTGTGGCATGTGGGATGCTGCCTCAGCATGGCTTGATGAGCAGTGCCATGTCGGCGCCCAGGATCTGAACCAGCGAAAC